CTTAACGAAGATTTACAGTATTTGAAATACATCATAATATAATTAATGAGAAGTACTGTATAGCCCTTCTATGTCATAGAATCTATGATACAGTATAAAGAATATTATATATTAGTAGATATTGATAAATGTATTAGTATTATTGAAAATTGTTAAAAAGTAACTGTCAGAATTTACTGTCAATTTGAAAATTAAAATAGTTTAAATATTTTTGTAATACATGTATTAATATATAGTACAAATCTAAATAATTTTGCTTGATTACATTCTTATACTGTATCATTTTTCAATGAATGGAATATATCCTATACTTAATGGCAAAATATGTTTAACATACAAAAGAAGAAATGTTTGTATTAACAAGATAAATTACTTATAATTTTAATTTTATTAAATTTAATAAAAGACTATTATATTAATTAATTATAATGTAAAAATAAGAATATTCATTAAATTACTTTTATTAAGAATCACTAATTGCTTATAATTCAGTTTATTTTAGACTTTTATGGTTTAAAAATGAAAATAGTGTCAATACATGTCAGTAATGAATTGTAATTTTGAATTTTATTTATCAAATGATAAATCAATTATAAGCCACTAATTGGAAAAGAATAGATTGATATTATTATAATTAAATAATCAAAGAGTTGTAATTTGTCAAAACACTCGTAACATTTGAATGAATCCCACAATTGGAAGACTATGAGAGAAATCTATTGGCAGGAGTTTGAAAACTTTTAGGTATTCTATCATTATATGATATGAGCCAGGGAACTCATGAATTACAATGAACTATAGTTAACACATTGATCAATATTAATATTTTATTATATTTTAATTAATTTAAAAGTTCATTTTTAAATAGGTTAATTATATAATCTCTGTTTTCAGTAGCAATATATTTTATTATATTGAACAATGAGTTACCTAAAATTCATAGCATTTGGACTTGTCATAGTATGGCTTTCCCTTGCTCATATGATCATAAAGTGTTTTCAAAATAAAGATTCTTTTAATTATAGCAAAACATTTCTTGAATATTCCAAAACAGTTACATTTGATTACATTTGATAAGTTTTATATAGTCTATTAAAAAAAAGAAAAATTTTAATATAAAATTAAATTAAAAACAGTATAGCTGTATAAATAGCTTAAAATAAATCAAGTTTGTCAGTACATTCATTATTATTCTAACGTAAATTATTAATTTATAAATACGGTAAAATTTCTAACGTTAAATGAGCTTAACACTCATTTAAAAAATATTTATTGAATAGAGTCCCTATTTAGTCTAAACCATTTTGCTTATTTTACGATTGTAACATACGTTTTGACAAAAATAGTTGTTAAACATTTCATATTTTAACAGTTAAAGCTATTTCAAAACTATTCAAAATATTTTTTATTACGGTAAAACATATTTGAATTTTTTTATTTCATTAAAAACAAAACCACACAATTTAAAACAATACATAAATGTACCGTATATTAAATACACCTTGATGAACGAATTGAAATGATCAGGTAGAAATTCTGTTATTAAAAGACAACAATATTACATATACCGTAAAAATCAGATTAAATTATTTATTAAATTCTTTGTTCAGTAATTGCATAAACAATTTGTAATAAATCTCAAAAACTAATATAAAACTAAATAGCGTATATAATTAGGTAATAATTCTCAGATNTTTTATGTATTATACGCGATAATGTATACAATTGTGCAGGATCATCTATTACAGGACCTCATGTTTTAGCATTTGTCCATTTGTCGCGTCTTATCAATGTTTGTATTATTTTTCAAACATCATATCAAAGCGTTTCAAATATCAATAAAACATTTCATTCAACTTTTTATAATATCACTATGCTTATTTACTTTAATTCATATTATAAGTTATAAAGTTATACAACTACTATAACAATATATGACTATATGATTGCAAAAGGTTTAAAATTTTGAGAAATTTTATAATTACAATCAAGTCATTTAATATGATATCATAAATTCATTTAATGGGTATATAATTTATGTATCTATAGATCAGAGTCTGAAAATTAAAAAATACATTATATAAAAGTTACTTTATAATATAAAATAATACAATATAACATATTATGTTCAAAAATGAGATGTTTATAAGTTATTATAACTATTTAAGCATGTTAGTAATATCTAATAATCTAGTAATCAAATAATATCTATAATACTTTTAGATTAATCGATGATTTGATTTATTCTTTAATTTTCATATTTATATAAGCATTTTTATATTATAAGTAGGGCTGCCAACTGTCCTCCTATCGGTCCTTTAAAAAACAGTCTAATGTAATGTCCTCTCAGAGATTATTGTAAAAATATTGCAAATATTCACTTAATTTTCAGTTAATTTACAAAATTCATTAAAATTACTTGCGATTATAAAAACATATTTTAAATTAATTAAACAACTGTTAGGAGGACAATAAATAGTTTTTTGTAAGGAATTGTAGTTCTGTTTAAATTATGGTATGACCAGGCCGTGTTAAAATTTATAGAAAATATACATTTTAAAAGAATTTTGTCCTCCCAATTTCCTCCTTATGATATTGCTATGAAATATTCAAAATAATTTCAATTGTAATTTTATATTTATACATTATTGTAAACTCGCGGCTATGCATTGAATTGCCTGTCAATCCTTGTTATCTTTCAAGTTGTCTTATGTATAAAGTTTGAAAGATTTTGTTTTCGAGACTCAAACCGTTATATCAAAGCTGAAGTACTGGTAATTAAAAATTTTTTTAAATCAAATATTTTTGTGAATTACAGTGTATTAATGAAATCTATTCTGGATAAATTAGATTAGAATTATAAATTCATAAAAGTAAGAAAATGAAAGGGAAGTATCATGAAAACACCTTTCTATGTTCAAAAAACTCATGGAAACCTCGTTTTTAGGGATATATTAATAAAATAAGTGTTTTCGGCAATTATAGCAAAGTAGTGTCAAAATCGGTACAAAATATGTTGTATTTTTAATTTATAATTAATAATATATTGATATAATTCCCGGTAATTAAAACAATAGTTAAAAACGGAAAGTTATGGTTAACAAGGTTATATGTATTAATTACTATAAACTTTGTGTCAAATCTTTGTTAACTACTTTATCTAATATGTGATATAATGCGGTTCATAATTGTTTAGATTATACCATCATTTTAATCATATTATAGTATTTGAATTAAATTCAATCTAAATGGCAAAACTTGTTGGGAAACATTCAAACATCACGTTTACACTACACTGTCATCTATTGTATTAGTATTTAGTTTATAAACTTTATAAGTGTTACAAATGGGGGTATAAAAGGTGACATATTTGTACGTATTTTGTGAATGTGAAGGAAATATATTTATCATAGTCTATTTTAGTATTATGGTAAATAACAGTAAGTAAATGATGCTAGTTGATTGATGTGGTTATATTAATATATCTAACTAATAATTATTATAATGCCTACTAGATATATTTGCAAATTAAATACATTTGAATTGACTTTTGATAATAAAAACTTATATTTAGATGATTGTAGTGAACGTATGCTTCAAACGGACAGTTAGTGTAAAATGATGTGTAATTGAAATGCAATACAATTAGTAAATGAATGATACATTTGAAGTGTATTTCAGTGTTTGAATGAATGGTTTAAATAAAGTGTGAAATTAGCGCCAAATATAGACATAATATTAGTGTTAAAAGCATTGAGTAATGGATTGTATGATAAGAGGCACACAAATGGCAAACCGAGTGCTCATAGACTGCAAGTATGTTTGCAATGAAGGACTGAATTGAATGTAAATTGTGTTAAATATCGTGTCATTTGACACTAATTTTAAACACATTTCCGTTCAATACGTCCTTCACGTCATAAAAAGCTGCAAATGATTTGCATTTGTATGACATTTGCCGTCAAATGAATTGCTATTAATAAGTGTTATATTTGAACAGAGGTTTGAGTCGTTTGTACGAAAGGTTTGTTGGATCAGTTGGTTGCCTCAAGACTGTCGCAATCGGTGGTCGTATGATGTCATCGCAATCGCAAGCACTGGCCGACTGTATGTCCCAATTGGACCCAAAACAGGTGCAACTGCTGGACGAACAGTGTATTGTCGTCTCAGACAATGACGTGCCATTAGGGGCTAAGTCTAAGAAAGACTGTCATCTCATGGCTAACATAGATAAGGGTCTAATCCATCGGGCATTCAGTGTAATGCTGTTCAACAGTTCCGGTGAACTCCTGTTAACCCAGAGATCTGACGCCAAAATCACTTTCCCCTCGTATTTCACGAATACCTGTTGTAGTCATCCGTTGTATAACGAGTTGGAAAGGGATGAGAAGAATGCCATCGGAGTGA